GAAAGTGCTCCCAATAGCTTTGTTCAGATATAATCAGATATAATAAGACCAACTGAACATACGACTGATTGAGAAATTTAGAAAGTTAAATTCTTTACAAAAGGGTGCTTTATTTTGAAACAATTTCGAGACATGCATTAATTTGTAAACCATTCTATTCATATATAGTATAGTATGCATTGAAAAATTATTGAAAAATTCTCAAAATGGAAATAAAATAAGCGAATTGTTCGTGAGAAGATTTGGCAATATTTTTAGTAAGCCTTTAAGGGATTGAGGTTAAGGAATTGTGTAAATAATTAAAATTTGCAAAAATAAAAGAATTTAATTTGTAAAATGTACGAGAATTTGCCATCCAATCTAAAATATGTTCTTTTCTAATTTTTGTCCTTAGCTATCATTATTTTTTTAATAAAATTTATTGAAGACTTGTTAGCATACATTTTATCTACTTGATCTTTCCTAAATATATGCAATATAACATCAGATCTTGGTACTCTGATAGTACTCTGGATAATGTCTGATAGTTATATATTATTGTCATTATCGCAACATGCTTCTGTTGCTAAACCACTGTCTGGTGTCTACTGTCACCGTCTACCGCTATCAAATACACCGATGCTTTCCATCCATATGTGTGTCCACAAGAACGTCCCTTTCGAGGTGCGCTGTAAATTATACGCTTTTGCCTTAGCCTCTATAACCTCTAAGCCTGTCACTCCATTGGTCCTTTATATGTTTCTCGCACTGCGCTCCTTATTGCTCTTTAAGTGCCTTCTCCCAGTTTGATGTTTTGCGGTTCTGCTGGTTTTGCATCCACACATTCAAATCGATGTCTTTAAATTTTTAAGGTGGGCTTTTAGGCGCTAGAACTGAGCCACAAACGTTCATTATGTTGGTTGTCATGGACATTGCGGCTTGTGTCAACTAATGAGATTCACACCAGTGCAAGTGACCTCATTCTTTTCGGAGACTCCGTGTGCATTGAAGTCTGCTGCACGTATATAAAAGCGAATTTCGGAGAATTTAAGCAAAAGACAATTTTCTTTCTTGTTTTCCTCAGATCTTAAAAAGCTGTTTTGGATGCAGCTCAAGAAATAATTATTCTTATAAATGCAATAAAAATTCTTAAATATGTAGTGTTTTGCCCATCAGTTAATTCTTGCAAACTAAACGAGCTAATGGTATCCTAACTTTTTAGGAGCATTACACGGACATTCGTTCTTTATGTGTGTTAATTTTCATTGTCATTATTTATGTCTATTTATTTTTTATCTTCATAGACAAACAATGCAGTCGATGTAAAAGAAAAACGAAATAAAAGAAAAATCAATACAATAGAGAACTTAAACTAAATAAAACTAAAGTAGTAAAAAAGCCTATAAAAATGAAAAAAATATCTAATAACGAATCATTGATGGAATTTATAATAAGATTGCGAGCAGACACGGAAAACAAGTAGGGGAAACATTAAAAGTTGATGTAATGCCCTTAAAAAAATAGGATTAATATTATGTTTTAATTAACTCGTTTAAAGGGATTTTTTAAAATGGTTTATATTTTGCTTACAAATTATTAGCTTCTAAACTAAAAATATTTCTTTAGATACCAATAAAGCCATTAAGCCGGCTTGAGAGGAAAATGAAAATATTTTGACATTTCGAATTGTAAACCACCATTTCAAATTGCTTATAAAATGCCAAAGAAAATCATTTGTTTCTCAACTTTAATGAGTTTTACAAACGACAAACGAAATTGAAGCCATCATTCTAAACCAGCAATTGATGTGTTTGGCCTTCAGTTGCACTAACCTTTCTGGCATACAAGTATTTCGCATTTTGCTTTCTTTAAACATTCTATAGTACACAACTATTCCTGCAATTCGTTTACCAAAACTCAACTGCACAAAGCTTTCAAGCGACATGCTCTATTGCCAGTTGGTGTCAACTGCTTACACATGTACAAATTTTGCCAATGCTTTGGGGTGAAGCATATTCCCCCCCTGCATTTGAATAATCCACCTGCTGCAATTTTGCATTTCCACCAAAAAATGGCAACAGCCACAGCAACGGCAAAGGCAAGCAGGCAGGCAAGTAGGTGAAGAAGCAATCAAACCCAAATATTATGCTGTCGCACGAGGCAAGAAAAACTTTCACACTATGCCACAGACATGTGTACACATGCACACACACAAACACACACACGCATACGCACACTCATAGTGATAGCTTGATTGCGCATACGCAGGGTGTGCTGTGTGCCTTAACCTTTATTTTCATTAGGTGCCGTTGTCAGCAGCCACTGCGCCAAGTAACCAACCATTGCATGTCGGAGTAGTCAGCCATTGTCATTTGTTATGTTATTGGTTTGGACATTTTGCAAATTGCTTATTTAGCAGTGCGTAAAATCCACAAGAGTCGTGGTCGTGGACCCAAGCCGAGTTATCCTGGTGCCATCGTTTGCCTCCACTTGACTGCTGCGGTTTTTTACTTGCATCAAGACAACGAACCAAGCACACATCACACGCACACACACTGTTTGTCGTGCCGCCTGCCTGGCTGTTGTTCTTGGCTTTTTCTATGGCCATTTTCCATTGTTGTTGCTACTGGAGTTTTCATTAGTGACCCAACCACGAGCATGCAAGTTAACGACATGGGAATGTGGGGCTAGCATTTAGTCCTGTCCATATGGCAGCTGCATTTCAATGTCAAAGCATACGTCGATTAGCTGTCATTCAAACTAGAGATGCGCATAAATTCATACAAAATTATCATTCTATTGGTAATACGAAGAACATCACGAAACGAAGCTAAAGCATGCATTTATTTCATTTTCCAGACCACTGGAGTGCTGATTATGTATGAAAAGAATATAAAATTTTTCCATTATATTAAAACTTTTCCTTGTCATTAATTTCTTTAATACCTATCTAAGCTAAATCATAAACTATATTGCATTTTCTAAATCCCTGGAGTGCTGATGATGTATGAAAAGATTTTAAAATATTTTATTTAAAGTTCTCCTTGTCATTTTTTCATTTAATATTTAATAATAGATTTAAGCTACACTATACATTAGCAAATACGTACATATTCATATTTTAGATATTGTTCTAAGCTCTAATTTATTATATAAAGCTTCATTAGGCGTCTTTTTTCATTTTGGCGTTCATTCTGGCAAATAAAGCAAAATAAATAAATGAAAAGAATTTGTAAAAATGCAAGAACATTTCCCAGACATACATACATAGGCAACACCCTTTACAGAACTCTATAAAAATGTAACATGTAATCAGCAGGTGGTATTTTTATTAAATTTAATATTATCTGCTTCAGTCTTCAATTCAAAATAGGTGTGCCGTAAATAAAATAAAATAAATAAAATGGGTAGAGTATAGAAGAGTTGCGCCTACTCAACTCTTGCTTTCCATTATTGTTTTATATTATTCTGGACATTCAAAAAGGTGAGGAATAATTCTTAATTGCTGTTAAAACTCTTTTATTAAATGGTAGGTAGGCGGATAATATTTCTCCAATTTGTTATTACGCTGCTGTATTAACTATAAATTATAATTATAAAGCCACCATCTAATATCATAGAACTTTACAAACAGGTCATTTGATAGAAATGAGAAATATTGCATAAATTCCAACATCGACAAACCCAATAATATGTTACATTTAAAGGTAATATTTCGTGGAAATTTTAAAATTTTAAATCAAAATTAACCCCGGTTTTTAATTTAAATTATGCCCCTTGCTCCAACTGAATATATTAATTTATTAATTATTGCTTGCAATCCTTCTTCTAATTTACGTATATGTATTTGCTAAAATAAAGTACATTTGAACATACTTGTAAAAAGGCTTATATTTTCGTTAAATTTAAAATACTTAATATTTATTTATAATTCCTTTGTTTTACAATTGCCAACTTGTTTATTGCTTACAACATTTTAGTTGAATTACTGTATTCCAAAAGCTTAGATAAAATTTGAGTATCGTTATAAAAATTTGAACCAACGACCATCGCTAAATCCAACAAGAAAAAGACTTCCAGTTATTTGACCTCCATTCAAGTTTTTGTCGTCTTTATTGTACTGGCGACCTTTTTTTTGATTGGGCCCACAAAAATATTTGCTTTTCATCCTGCCCGTTTCATCTAGCCAGTGCATAATGGCACCTCAACTGCTGTTTTCAAATTTTTTGTCTGGCAAAGTAAAAAATTGTGTTGTCCTTAGTTGAGTTATTGGGGTTACGGCAATAAAAATGAATTATTGACTCTTGGGCATGTTCCTTAATTGCAGGTCCATTCTAATTCTTTTGCAAACTGTTTGAAGCTCAGTTAATGTGTAGATATGTATGTGCGTATGTACATATGAATGTTTGGGTGAAATATTTAGCACAAATATATGTACATACATGTATGCAGTTCCAATTCAAAACCTTATCGTTTCAAGAGATTAGTTTGGCCTAGGAACTATAAAACATCGACTCCTAAAAAAAAACAAAAATCGATTCGCGCGATACGATGAAAACTACGAAGAACATAAATCAAAAATATATTCCAATTGGCTCGAGCTTTATCAGCTATTTGAGCTCAAATTTCAATCAAATTGAATGCCTGGAATGCAAATGTGATCAACAAATAAATAAATACAAAAAACAGAGTTTAATGTAATTCGTGTTATTTTGATAGATTCAAAAACATTTTGGTAAAACAGTAACTCTTGAGTTCCGTTCAACAAACACTCGAGCCCTAAATTAAATAAAATATATTTAGAAAATACACATTTTCTCAAAAACGATTCTTACATTTTGTGACTTTGATTGCTGTTTACAAACAATCTTACCGAATTCGATACGCTTTTTCGCCATACTCCTCTTTTTTTCTTGTAGATAAAGGTTTTGCTATGGATTAGTTTAATCTATATTTCAGTTTCTGATTTCGCAAAAAAATGTGAAATGAGAATTGGATATATACAAATGACTAAAGACAAGTTTGTGGCGCAAGGTTGCAAACTTGCATCTTTTTATTTACGTAATTCCACCTACTCCCGCACATTTATGCAGATATAGGGACGACAATATAACCCTGAAATATTTTTCAACAAATGACTTAAATCAATTTTGTACATACTATACACGAAAGACTCCTACACTGCTCAGCAATATGTCAAGAATTGAACTAAGCATTAACAACGAATATCAAATCAGAACTGAATTAAAAGGTCATATCTAGTTAGGTGAGCTCAACAACATATAGGCCTCGCGTGGTTCACAGGTGCATGCGAAGCCATAGTCCTTATATAGATCGACTCCTGTATTTGAATTGAAGCGCTGCTCGAAGCTGGCAAAGTGTCGTTGTTTGTGTACAAATTCCAGGCAGACTTTGTCATTGAAACGGCGTCTTGGTTTTTCACCCAGCGGCTTGTAGCGTTGGAAGAGTTCACGCATTATCTCATTGGGATACTTAAGCGAGTTCTGAGGAATGGGATAGGGAGTGGGCTTATCGCCCTCCTGCCTAATCTGCTCATCCTGCATCACTGACACCTTGGCATTATCGTTCTCCCACATTCCCTTCTGGATCTGGCCCGTATGCATGTGATAGAAGACACCTTCGCCATTTTTATAGCCGCGTGCAAAGTGTCCCTCATAGCGATTGCCATTGGCTGCAAGAAACATAACTTAGTTAGGATATAGTTGGGAGATAGATCCAACTCACGGTAAAACATGACTCCGAGTCCGTGCCTGAAGCCAGTCTCCCATTCACCCAGATAAATGCCACCATCTCCGTACCACTGTATGCCCAAGCCATGGCGTCGATTTCTCAGCCAATTCCCAAAGTAGACACAACCATCTGGATAGAATTGCTTACCCTCGCCGCACTTCATGTCATCGTACCATTTTCCGGCATATATCAACTGGAAATCGCCTCCGCGCTTGCGAAACATTGAGCCAATCCCCTGCCGCTTCCCCTCCACCCAATCGCCCTTATAAACCAGCTGACCATCCGGGTCTTTTTTGTACGCAAAGTATTCGGCGGTACGTTTGGCTGTGGTCTTCACGCCCCAACCATGGTGCTGGTTGCAGAGCCAATATCCGGCATATTTGCCACCGCCGGGATAATAGAAGGTAGCACGACGACCGGTGCTACAAACTGGTTTATTTGGGCAATAGAATCGCTTCAGGCAAGTGCCCATTTCTTATCAGTTTAGTGAGTCTAATTGTAAACTATTGACTTGTTTTCTTTTGGAATCAAATATATTTGAGAGTTACAGAAATAAGTAATACATTTTTCGAATATGTAAAAAAGAAATGACAGTGAGGGTTGATAAAAATGTAGAGAATTTATGCTACGGGGCACAACATAGACAATATTAAAGACTGGATATTTATCAGATAATGCTCACAATTCCGCCAGTTGAAGCTGAAAGTAAATGAATATATTTAGCTGTTAAAATTTGGGTAGAATTATGGAATCCATAATAGCCATGGCAGGCCTATCGAAAGTAGAAATTCATCTCAGAGCGAACGAAAACTGCATTTCTTCTACTCCCGAAACACTGGAGGTGTAGGCTTTTAAGCAATGATCCATCCATAACAGATTAAAAATCAAATTGAAAAATTGGGAGATATCAATGAACGATATCTTGTAGAGAGAAAAAAGTTCTCCTTCCGGAATTGAGTTCGTAAGGAAATTCTTGAGGTATAGGCTTTTAAGCAGTGATCCATCCATAACAGATTGAAAAAGAATTTGAAAATGTTTGAGATATCAATGAACGATATCTGGTAGAGGGGAAAGAGTTATATTTCCGGAATTTAGATCGTAAAGCAATGACCAAGGATAAAAGAAAAAGACACTATTGAAACGAGGGAAGAAGAAGCTTTCTACTCGAGAAATGAATATTTGACTAAGCTTGGCAACTAACAAAGCCCCGTTACTTATATAATATTAATATAAACATATAATCGTACATAAGTCCCGGTGAGTTTTCTTTGATTTGTCATGCAAAGTATGCCGCAAAGTTACAAATACCATGCATTCCATATATACGTATGCTTCTGTAGTTTGAAGTCCACACGTTCGCGTTATTTGGAATGTTAACATTCCATCATTATGCACACTCTTAGCCCTATTTAAGCCAAGTTACTTCCTCAATTGCGTCAATGTGCATTCACCCTTCGCACCTTGGCAGTCAGTCGTCTGTCGACAGAAGTTGGCGGCAGCAGCTCGCTCACACGGGCTGTTTGTTTTTAGTTAAATCGCAACAATCAGCGCTAATTGGAAATTTAACAGTTCATAAAAAGTTTGGCGCGCCCAGCCAACAACCGCCATCGCCATCGCCATCGCTGTTGCCGTTGAGAGCAGGTTGACCCAAATAGCATGCTTTATGGTTTTCTCGGCTAAGCTTACGCCTCACTGGCGCGCACGTCAAATCGCAATACCAACAGCAGCAGCAACAACAACAACAACAACAAGTTGAGCTCGGGATAGTATGTGGAGGAGCCGTGGTCGGAGCTTTCAACGATGGCAACGGCATGGCATCGTTGTATGTACAATATGGAAAGCGCCTTGAAATTGCAACATCAACACCAATAGAAAAAAGGTGCAGGAGGTTAGTGCCACGCACAAATTCTTTGGCACCATGCACGCAGACTGGATTTAAAAGTTCAGTTCACTTTGATGAACCACTCTTCTTTAGAACAGTACAACTAAGACTCGTTTTTTACTCCAATTGTGGTACGTAAGAAAAATCATTATCGATGTTTCCCGATATTCCAGAAAATATAGAGTGTGTTAAAGAGTTAACTTTTGTCTCTGTCCGTTTAAAAGGTAAGATCCTGCCTATACTCCTATTTCTTCTTGGTCTGTTTATTAAGTTGTACAAGTAAATCCAATTTAGTGTTGCTCCGTTTCCACAATAAGACTAGCTCTTAATTATTATGACCAGATTATTATTGGTTCGACTGAAAAAGAAAGTAATTGAGATGTTTGAACTCTTTCCACAAGATGTAATTCACGCTCTTCCATGTTATTATGGTTTGGGCTCTTGATCGGTTCCAAATTGTTTTGCTCTTTATTTTTATAACATTTTTATACCCTGTTCCCGTAGGGTAAAAAAGGTATATTAGGTTTGTGCAAAGTATGTAACATACAGAAGGAAGCATCTCCGACCCCTTAAAGTATATATATTCTTGATCAGCATGACGAGAGAAATCGATGTAGACATGTCCGTCCGTCTGTCCGTCTGTCCGTCCGTCTGTCCGTCCGTCTGTCCGTCCGTCTGGATGAACGCGAAGATCTCAGAAACTATAAAAGCTAGAATAACCAAAGTTGGCATCCAGATTCTCCTAGGTCCGAGTAAGGACGAGTTTATGTTTTTTTTTAATTTTCCCCCCCTTCCCCCGCTACAGAATTTCGTCAATAGCGTCCACATTTCAAATGCTACCTAAACCAAACTTTGCACACATAATTTAAATATAATTGTCTACTGTTGTTCAAAATTTTATTCAATTCGGTCAATTCTAAGAAAAGTTATTAGCAAAACAAATTCTCGCCAGTACAACCCCCCCAAACTGCAGCAACAAGTTCGCTCTTCTTCTTCCTCTTTTTGCTGCTGCTATGGGCGCATATAACTCAGTGACGGAAGTTTACCTGGGTACAGGGTATTACACTGTCGGGCTTGCTCGACTGTAGCGTTCTCTCTTGTTTTTATATGTTTTTCATTTTCATTTCATTTATGTATTCACAATAATTGGTTCAAAATTATGTGTATTTCTATAAGTAGTTAACAATAAAGAGTTCGGTTTATAAAAACGTTTCTCCTTAATAAGATATAAAGTGTCTTTTACAGTTTATGAGTGAGCGGACAGATTTTAAAATATTATCAATAGCCCATAGTAATATAATTTCAAACATAACGGTTTAGTAGCTTTGTTGTCCGAAAATTTCATTGCAATTTCTGGAATGGAAACGTTTTGGAATCGCTGGAGATTATTGTTCTGTTTTTTCACTTTTGAGAAATGTTGGTAAAAGCGAAAAAAACTTGTTTTTTTTTGTCGTTTTAATGAATAATTCAAAGTGCGGTTCCGTTCAAATATTGAAAATTGGAAATGGAACTAGAGCCTAAATAAACTTCGGTTCACAACCCGAATTCAGACACCTGCGCGCCACCATACACAAAAAAAAAAAAAATAAACACACACACTCCGGCAATCGTACATTAAACAAGTAAAAAAGCTAAAGTCGGGTGTCCCGACTTTGAAATACTCTGTACATATGTTTACAATAATTATAGAAAATAAAAATATTTAGAAAATAAAAAAAAAAATTGATCGATTTTACCTCTCTCGGTATTCGAACTCACGTAAAGGGTGTATAATTGCACATTTACATAGTAATTGCGTCTGTGTGAGTGTATGTATGCCTATGCGCATCAATTCGTGTCTGTGTAAGCATTTTCGCAGTCAACCAAACAGCAACATCAACAACAGCCGCGGGCAGCGCTTGAGCAGCGCTGCAGCAGCGCTGCATTAGCAAATATATTTATGGCTATAACTTCTTGTTAAATCGGTCTATCATAATGAAATTTGGCATACGGACACATAATAACCAACTGGGGGTATTTCCAAAATTTTAGTTCGAAATTCCAAGAATTACGGGAGTTACGATTTGCGGGGTAGAGGGGGGAGGGAGGGGAATTCCAAAATATACATTTTCTGCGTATTCACATAAGGCATCTGGGACTAAAATTTGCTGTTGCTAGGTCTTATAGTCTCCGAGATATAGGCGAATGGAAAATCGGGAAAACCCCCATAGGGGGGAAGTGGGGGGGAAAATCAAAAAAATAAAACAAACTCGTATAGAATACACACATAACGCATCTTTGTGCAAAATTTGGTGTCTCTATCTCTTATAGTCTCTGAGATCCAGGTGTTCATACGGACGGACAGACGGACAGACGGACAGACAGACAGACAGGGCTAGATCGACTCGTCTCGTCATGCTGATCAAGAATATATATACTTTGTGGGGTCTGCCATGCCTCCTTCTGCCTGTTACATTTTTCAGCTCCCGCAAACCTAATATACTCTTGTACATTTCATGTATAGAGTATAAAAAGTATAAGGAGCGTGTGGAACGAAAGTGTGCGTTTCGTTTCACTTTTGAGGTAACGTGCCGCGTTTACCCCACACATTGCAATTTGTATTTTTTCCCTATTGCTCAAACCTAGGATAACACTAATTTCGCACCACTAATTACAGTTTTTGCTGCACATACTCGTACCAGCCACCCACTCCATCCCATGCCATTTGTTGTTTGCCAGTTCTAGCTTCCTTTTCTAGGTTCGTTCACTTTGCGTAATTATACGAAGTGAGTTCTGCTACTTAACTCTGTTGGGAAATATCGTAATAAAAAATGTGTGTTGCCTACACAAAACAACAACAAAATTCGCCCGACGTTTATAAAGCCATTGGTGTTTACTAGTTATGTTGAGATGTCTGGGTATAGGCTCAAAAAGAAATATGTTGTAATAGTGGCGTAAATAAGTTCAATACCCTAAGATTTTTCGACATAACCAACTCTTGTTTTAATCTTTTGAAAGTATTCCTAATTTTCCAAAAACTCTCAGAGTAGTCTGACTGCGGATTTGTTCCAGGAGAAAAGGTTTATGTTTCCTCGAAACGTATTTATTTTTTATTTTATTTATTTATATTTACATCTGTGAACAACTAGGATGAACTATAGAACTATAAACTAGGAAGTTCTAAGTAGGAGAAAATTAAGCAAATTTTGTGGACCAGTTCAATAATCTTTTCGGAGTTACTCCTTTGTAGCACCTGTGATTTCAACCTGGAATATGAATTGTTCAACCTTAGCACTTTCTGGTCCTTCTTAGCTGATGACTGATTATATCCAATAGGGCTTTTTAAAGAATTTGTGATCTCCAACACAAGCATATCTTTGTAGCTTAGCATATGAGAAAAAGCACCTAAATAGCCGTTTTGTCTTCTATTTCACAAACACCTTTCATTCCAGCTCAGAATCTGCAATAAACGTCAAATACTTAGAGAGTTTAGGAGTCCCGCTGGAAGTATTAAAACAGCCAGCATCCATTCCTTGTATGCGGAAGCAATCTAGAAGGAGCTTTCGACAACACTTATAGTGAAGGAATCTTTATGAATGATAGATAAATAAAGTA